CCACTGTGGTGTGCGTGTGCCCCTTCAAAGCAGCATTTTTATATTCTTTGGATAAATTCCTAGTAGCGTAATTGCTGGGTCATAGAGTATTTCTATTTTTAATTTTTTAAGGAACTTCCACACTGTTTTCTATAGGGGCTGTACCAGTTTGCACTCTCACCAACAGTGCAACAGGGTTCCCCTTTCTCCACATAATTGCCAACATCTGTTGTTTCCTGAGTTGTTAATTTTAGCCATACTGACTAGTATCTCTGTGGTTTTGACGATTTGTATTTCCCTGATGAAGAGTGATGTTGAACATCTTTTCATGTGTCTGTTTGCCATTTGGTTGTCTTCTTTAGAAAAGTGTCTTTGCATGTCTTCTGCCCATTTCTTCACTGGATTATTTCTTCTTTTGGGTGCTGAGTTTGATAAATTCTTTATAGATTTTGGATGCTAGCCCTTATCTGATATGACATTTGCAAATATCTTCTCCCGTTCTGTCAGTTACTTGTGTCGATTGTTTCCTTTGCGGTGCAGAAGCTTTTTATCTTGATGAGGTCCCAATTGTTCATTTTTGCATTTGTTTCCCTTGCCTCCAGAGACATGTCAAGTAAGAAGTTGCAGCAGTTGAAGCCAAATGTTGCTGCCTGTTTTCTCCTGTAGGATTTTGACGGTTTCCTGTCTCACATTTAGGTCTTTCATCCATTTTGAGTTTATTTTTGCATATGGTGTAAGAAAGTGGCCCACTTTCATTCTTCCGCATGTTGCTGTCCAGTTCTCTCAGCGTCATTTGTTAAAGCGACTGTCTTTTTTTTTTTTTCCATTGAATACTCTTTCCTACTTTGTTGAAGATGAGTTGGCCATATATTTGTGGGTCCATTCTGTGTTCTCTATTCTATTCCATTGATCTATGTGCCTGTTTTTGTGCCAGTACCATACTGTCTTGATGATGACAGCTTTGCAGTAGAGGCTAAAGTCTGGGATTGTGATGCCTCCCATTTTGGTTTTCTTCTTCACTATTACTTTGGCTATGTGGGGTCTTTTCTGGTTTCATATAAATTTTAGGATTGTTTGTTCTAGTTCTGAGAATGATGCTGATGTTATTTTGATAGTGATTGCAATGAATGTGTAGATTGCTTTGGGTAGTATCAACATCTTAACAATATTTGTTCTTTTAATCTATGAGCATGGAACGTTTTCCCATTTCTTTGTGTCTTCAATTTCTTGCATAAGATTTCTATAGTTTCCAGCATACAGATCTTTTACCTCTTTGGTTAGGTTTATGCCTAGGTATTTTATGGATTTTGGTGCAATTGTAAATGGGATTGATTCCTTGCTTTTTCTTTCTGCTGCTTCATTATTGGTGTATAGACATGCAACCGATTTCTGTACATTGATTTTATATCCTGTGACTTTGTTGAATTCATGTATCTGTTCTAGCAATTTTTTGGTGGAGTCTTTCAAGTTTTCCATGGAGAATGTCATGTCACCTGTGAAGAATGAAAGTTTGACTTCTTTGCCAATTTGGATGCTTTTTATTTCATTTTTTCTGTCTAATTGCTGAGGCTAGGACTTCTAACCCTGTGTTGACAACTGTGGTGAGAGTGGACATCCCTCTCATGTTCCTGATCTCAGAGGGATAGCTCTCAGTTTTTCCCCATTGAGGATGATATTAGCTGTGGGCCTTTCATATATGGCTTCCACATAAAACGGTTTTTGAAGGATGGATACCCTAAGTTTGGTTGTCTCTAGGGAAAGAAACTAAGTGCCTGGGGGCAGGAGATGGAGGGATATTTATTTACTTTTATACCCTTTGTATGCATTGGACTATGTGAATGTATCACTTATTATCACATAAATAAAATATGGAATAAACCCTACATGCTGGTCACAAGGGGAAACAACGGAGTGTGAATGGAATCAGGAAGAAAGTGGGATCCCTTAGCCACTTGGGTGTCTAGATGCCCAGGGCTGTCCCAGAACAGGCAAATACCCAAGGTGTCTGTGGCTGGCCAGGTGGAGCTGATGTGAGTTTGGGAGCCCCCATGATAGCCATACAGTTGCCCCAAGGGATAATAAGCAGCGCATCCCAAGTTGGGTTTTTAGGTCAGTCTCAACCCTGACCTAGACTTGGAGCAGCACATGAGTCATCAGTCCTACCCTGCTCAAGTACATTCTGGCTTTAAGTATCATTAGGTAGAAGTTACAGGGATATAGATTTCAGTTCAATATAAGGAACAACATTCTAAAATCAGAACACCCTGGGAGGTAGTTAGTTCACTGCCTGTGGACACGTTTAAACACTGTGATGGCCACACTGCAGGGATGCCACAGGAGAGATTCAGCATCCCGTGGCTGAGGGCACCGCATACACATACACAACGTACATAACATTTTGAGTCCCTGTGCATGTATATGGAGAGTGAGCAGACAGATGATAAGTGTCCCCTTTCTCTTTTGCTAAGTGGCGGGCAAGTCAAACAAGACAGATATGAGCATTTGCACAGAACTCATCAGGTATCGCTTGCTGATGAGAAGTTTGCCGGAATATCCCTATCCTTCTAAATAGTGGGAGCAATGATCTAACTGATGGCACAGGATGGGATTTTTGCTACCTAGACCCAGCACCTGCCAGAGGAAAACGATATTCTAGTATGGCAATTCTGTGTTTAATTAAACAGAATAGGAAACAAAAAGAAGAAAGAATTCTGAGAAATATGTACCCTCCCCAAAAGTTTTTTTTTTTTTTTTTTTAATTCACAAAGGAAGCAAGAGGGAGAACAAAGAGCTAGATAAAGGAAAGAAATCTCTGTTTGGGGCTAAGCCAAATAAACTTAAATGGTTTAAGGAATAAATTGGTGGAGTAATTCGAATCACGGGCAGGTGCTATGAATGTAATTTAGTAAATGCTCGGGAACCTGCCAAGGAAGAGAAAAATGTGTTGCTTTTGAGATCATTTCCCAGCAGCTTCATAAAAGAAAACTGATTACAGGAATTTAATAAGCAAAACAGAGCCAGAAATATAGTAATCAAATGAGTTTTTAATTACATTTCAGGCAGAAAAAAATTCCAATTTGTGCTCCTGGGATTAAAAAAAAATAAGTTCTAGAGAAATGCTTTTGTAGCAGGAAAATAACATAAACACTAATTTCCATAGGAATTATAGTAGTCAGTTTAATTAAAAGGCTCGATCAGAGTGAAGAGGAGCCAGTGCCAAACTATACTAAATAAAACCAGGGCATTCGTTGCTACCCTACACTACTGTCCAAATAAAAACATTGTGCAATGGATAGAAAACGGTCACCTGCATTTTTTTTCATTAAAGGGGATTTTGATCACCACCTGAGTTTTTACGTTGCTATGTTTTATTTTCATATATGAAATAATTTCATATTTTACTAATACATCTGATTTAAAATTAAATGTTGGTTGGTGGGATAAATGTCATTCTTAAGAGAGAATATGCTGTGTTTAAGAGACATCAGTGTAGAGGGTCACCACTTCGGCCAGGTTGGAGGCTCACAGCTCAGTAGGATCCCTGATTACTTCTAGATTCTTCAACTCCCACTTAACTAATATCCAGTTGCATTGAACTCCTATCCCTTACTTCTCTGGAGTGACGGTTATTTGAGGGAATAAATCAGGTCTAACAGGTGATTTGCCGTCATGTTAGGGACGTACGCCCTCAACATGAAGGGCTGTTCTTTCTGTTGGGTGGCTCGGCTCTCAACCACACCGTAACCACAGGTCCTGCCTGGAGAAGGCCGTTCAGAAGGTGTGCTGAAACTGCAGTGGATTTGTTCCCCTTGGGATGAATGGGACACACCTGTAAGGCACCTACAAGGACCAGGGGCATAATCTGTGACCACAGAACACAGACCCATGGCATAAAGTGGAAACATTCCCTTTCCATGGGCTAATACCTGCACAGCTCCATGATCCTTGCTTTATTCATTGCTCTGTTCCACAATGGAGGCTGGAAATTTATACTATTAGGGAGTAGGGGACTCTTTTTCAAAAACAACAAATTTAAGTAAAAAAGAAAATATTTAGGGGGCGCCTGGGTGCCTCAGTTGGTTAAGCGTCCAACTTCGGCTCAGGTCATGATCTTGCAGTTCGTGGGTTCGAGCCCCGCGTCAGGCTCTGTGCTGACAGCTCAGGGCCTGGAGCCTCTTTCAGATTCTGTCTCCCTTTCTCTCTGACCCTCCCCTGCTCACGCTGTCTCTCTCTCCTCTCTCTCTCTCAGAAATAAATAAGACATTAAAAAGTTTAAAGAAGAAAAAGAAAATATTTAGGAGAGTTTCCTAAATAAGACCCTGGATCCTGAGTTTCATTGGCCTCGTGGCCAGTTGGCCTCAGGCCTCAGCCTGTGTGTCCTCTTCCCTTCCCTCTGCTGCACCCCCAACCCTCTCTTCCCTGCTTTTTCTCTTCTCTCCCATCCATCTTCATACATGTTCACATGCCAATCTGTTCATCTAGCACGGCTCCCAGGTCCTTAGCTTGAAAAATGAGCACTTTCTCTTCTTCAGGATGTTACCTGGTCTTTCTTATTCAGGTGAGTCCACCCAGAACCCCCCTTCTACCACCGCCCCCCACCCTGTGGTGTAGCGAATGGTAGGTGTATCTTAGTAAAGCTTTAAGTTTATGGTCTGTTGAGATCTCGAGGTATCCGGAGCAGGCAACAATATACATGTTAGCATACATGTGTGAGCAGGATATCTTGTGTCCTGTCTTGTCTGATGCGGATTTAGAACAGGATCATAATCTAATTGGCTGGCACCCTGGGGGTGGTACACAGCCACCCTGTCTTATTTTTTCATTCTCTGCACAGGCTCTAGTAATGTAGCACAACGGCATCACCTGCATATTTAACTTCTTGTCAATAGCTCCTGTTTACCAAAATAACCCTCACATTTCCGTCTTGCAGCCAGTTTCCATTCTCCTCACAAGGGAAAGCTAGAAAACCACGTCAGTGACTTGGGTTCTTCTCTCTTCCATGTGTTTTTGTTTGATTTCAGGCCTTGGTGAAGGTCAATGTGAAACTGAAGCCCATGCTGGACTCAGTGGCGGTGAACAGGAGTAAGTGGGAAGAGCTGCACCTGAAAAGGCTGCCGGCGCCCGCCGCCTCGCCCTCCTCTGCCAGCCTCATGGCCTCGGGGGAAGACAGAAACTAGCCCTCCAGCTTAGCTACTGCTGCAAAATGACTGCATCTGTCCCGAAGGGCCAGCATCAGGCCAGCCCACGCCATCCTTTTGTTCCTTTAAGCTCAGGCAGAGCGTTGCCGGGGAAGAGTTTGCACGGGGAAGAGTTTGCACGGGGAAGCACGCCTGGCCTTTCTCCTTGAAGTGTGGTCTGCAGGCGGAGGCAGGCAGAGGAGAGCCAGACATGAAGGACAGAGGGGAGGGAGCCCCGCACGGGGCGCTCAGCTTCCCCTGACCAGCACACATGGACTGAGGCTGAGACAAGGTGCTAGGCAGAGGACCCTGCACCTGAGGACAGCTGGCCCTGCTCAAGCCAAGCACAGAGCAGGGGACATGCCATTAACGCTGCTTCACTTTGTATCCAGCTCTTCTATTTGTTACAAGCCAAGCGAATGCCTGCGTTTGCATCCCCAGCGCCGTTTTGTGCCACACTGTCCCAAGAATCTCAGTTTGTATTCTGTAGAAGTATTTTATATTTATCCCAAAGCTTCTTAATGATGGATTAGAGCCTTTAAAATTGCCTACCTAAAAAATAAACTATAGCATCCTTACAAGTAACAGTCAGTCCTAGTTTTCCCCTAAAAAGGCCCATAGTAGAAAGACAGCAAATGTGTTTGTTTGTGTGACTGGTATTTATACAAGATTCATAACACTGCACTGTGATTGCGGCCCCCTTTTCCAGTTTTTGAAAATCCAACCTTTGTTGTAGACTAAGCCTTTTCCCAGAAGGAATGGATTACTAGACTTTAATTAAAGGAGAGATGAAAGGAAGTCCATAGCTGGACTCACCACACGTGACCCATGAACACTTAGGAACTATTTCCAATAGTGAAGACATTTTCCAGGCCACGGCAGAGCCACAGAAAATGATCATGGACTACCTTGAGTTTTCTTAGGGATGAGTTTTTGTATACCATCTAAACTTCCCACTAATACCAACCTAAAGCCAAATGTGGTAGTCTCCAATTTTTTATTTTTCCTTAAGTGTAAGAAATAATACTTGAGAAGTTAAGAAATAACAGTCTGGGGGCACCTGGGTGCCTCAGTCGATTGGGCATCCGACTTTGGCTCAGGTCATGATCTTGAGGTTTGTGAGTTCGAGCCCTGCGTCAGGCTCTGTGCTGACAGCTCAGAGCCTAGAGCCTGTTTCAGATTCTGTGTTCCCTTTCTCTCTGCTCTCCATGCTTGTGCTCTGTCTCTGTCTCTCTCTCTAAAAAACGAATAAACATTAAAAAGATTAACAGCAACAACGAAAAAATAACATTCTGGCCAGAGGACAAATTTGCTTTAGGAGACTAGGTTTATAATAATAAACTATAGTAAATCGATTCAATGACTAGAAACTGCTTTGCTGCCCATTTAACCTGAGAGATTGAGCACATCGTTTGACTTGCCCAAACCATTGCCTAGAATACTGGACTAGAAGCTAGATTTATGACCCTGGCTTTGACACCAAACACCTAACTTGTCCCAGCCTGTTTCCTCATTTGCTGAATGAGATAGGAAATGATTTGCAAATGTGTTTTAACCTCAGAACTCTTTGTTCAAATAAGTCTTACAAGGAATCTCCAAGATATAAAATATCTAAGAGGTGAAATTCTCTGTTTGATGCCAGGTTGGGGACCCAGAACCTGAAAATTCTCCTCTCTTTGATTACAGACATGGCGATGTGTAAAGGAGCTCTGAGGAGTTTGGAGATCCCTGTACTATTTGAACACTGGAGTGCATTCCAGCTCTGAAAAATCTATAGTTCACAGATGATTTTTGTTCTTATTGTTACTAATCAGTATCAGTTATTAACTTGACTACTCAAATATTGAGGAAATAGGGACCAAGTTATACAAAGAGTACTGCTTCCCTGGCACATAGCAGACATTCCAGAAATGTTTCAAGAATGGGTAAATGAAGGTCCCAAAACCAAAGAGATGGAAGAGCAGGTATCTGGAGGGAAGACATAAGACCCCATACAGCAAGAAATAAAGTCAAAGAAAATTATAAACCAGGAGAGTGGGGGTGGGGGAGAGGAAGATGAGGATGGGAAGCAAAAGACACCCAAAACAGAAAAGACAGAGACTGAGGCAGGTGGTAAGAGAACTGCCCAAGGCCAGGTACACATCAATCCAAAGAAAAATGGTGCTTCTAACCCCCAAAATGAGGATACAGAATTCTTGCTTAGAAAAGAGAGCTATTTGAGCAGGGAAGGGTTTGACAAAAGAGAGAAGGGACTGGGAACCTAAAAAAAATGTTCCTGGCCACCATTTACAGCTGCCTCTGCAGGGAAGACAGGAGAATCTAGAGGGAAAAAACGAGCACAGGAAAAAGTGCCTTTTCAGAGCAGGTAAAAGGAGGCTGCTCAGATTTATGGATTTTATTAAGCCAGTTTTCTGAACCACTCTGCTCTAAAGGAAAATAGCCTCTGGCCAGCTGTCTGCCCTCCTTCAGGTGAAGCGGGGCGGGATAGAGGGGTGGGGGGTGGAGGGGGGGGTGGAGAGGTAGGGGAATGGAGTTGGGGACAGACCTTGGGTAGTGTGACTGCAGCTCAGAAGCACTGCAGGTGTTCCCAGCTAGGGTGCCACACCATGTCTGTATCACAAACAGGAACTGGAAATCAGTCCATGTGAGGCAAAGATGAACCCACATCTGTCATCCTCCCCAGCAATAAATAAATAAACAGCCCAGACAGACAGATGCCAGTCTATCTAGAGCTTTATGATAAAACAAGACCCAGGGTCCGATGGAAACTGCAGGCAGCTACAAGCACTGGAGCTGCCCTGAGCGTTGATGCTACACATTGCTAAGGGGAACATAATTTATAGCACAAACCCTACGGCTTCCACTAAGGTTGAGCTTTCGTCTCATTTTCTTGGCTTTTTATTGGCTTCACTGCACGGTTGCCAATAGCAACATCCACTGGTAGCAAGGGGAGTTCAACACCATTGCAATCTGCCATACACTGGAGCCCTGACAATGTCAACCATCAATCAACTAGCTGTTTGTAATTGCCTCCATCTATTTTTCCTGTCTTGAGGTATCTTTCCTATTGTGGGTCAAAATTCAGAAACTGCTGACTAATGCCATGGGGACGTTCCTCAGAGACCATGAGGCAGTGGAAAACGACAGCAGCACCCTCCCTGTGCAACCCAGGGGTGAGAGGCTGAACACTTGGGCGTCTGAGATATTTTTAAGCCTTTTTTTTTTTTTTCCTAAATAATGCATGATTTTCCAAGACTGTGAGGTATGTGTGATGATCTATATATTTTGCTTTCCTACAATAAAGAGACATATTCTCAGTCCTTATCATTAATGGTTGTTTCCTACTAGAAGCAGGCATTTGAAATGTGAGCCTTCTTATAAAACCATCAGCTGACCAGACTATGTTTGCTTCCTCGGGTCTCCTGGCATTAATGGCTGAAATGAATTCATCCTACCTTCTCCATGTGATATATCTTTTCCGACATGCTGTTTATTTTCTGAGTAGTCAATATGTAGACGACGCAGGCACAACCCACAATGTAGCTTGCGATCCTGGCCAGGAGAGATGGAGTGCAAACTACAACTGACACCACAGGATGCACAGTAGATGGGCCCCTGCCCACAACCTGGCCACCAGTTTGACTTGTTCTCTTGGGAGCCTTTAGGTCTTGGGTTTTCCACCTGAAAATAAAAGCACTGGCTTTTATTCGGTTCATTTCTAAACCAGAGGACCAACTTGTACTTAAATTTTAAAATATTTTCCACATAATCGTCTTACTTACTCTTCTCAGATACAATAGGAACAAACCTAAAGAGGTCATCTTCTCTCTAAAGACAAAATTAAAAGTTACATATATGGGTATATGTATATATAAACACCCCTATATATAAGATATAAAACACCCCTATCACAGATATGTCTGAGCCTGCCTCTAGTGATCATGAAAGATATGGTCATCAGTACAGCTTTTTAAAAATATACCTTTCACTTCATAAAGGACAATTTTAGATTATCTCATACCTAGATATCCCATAAATGGCAGTCAGTTTAATTTAGAAGTCAATTTATAAAGCGGGTCAAATGAAATTAAAATTGCATGTGTTTTTATTTCTAAAATCTGAGATGTCTATACATTTCCAGGTATTTTATACTTGCATACACATTGGGTTGGGTTAGAAATGATCTTTAAATTTCTGTTAGTGTAATAGCAATATCATCTAATATTAATGCTACAGGAATCCAGTTGCTTTTTTCACATATCAAAATTTATCATATTTTATCCACTTACCTTAGGTCATTAAACAGAGTCTGCTCAATTTACTTTGCCATACAATTATTTTAAAATCCATTTCTCCTGCTGACTCTAAATGAATTGCAGAAAGATAAAGTCTCACCCCAGTAATAGTGAGGAAAAACTCCCCTCAAGCAGGACAGAAATCTAAACATGTTAGGGAAGATTTAAATCCAAAGAAAAATGTCTAAGCGAGAAAAAATAAAAACTCAAAGAGAATTCATTAAATGACAGAACAAAACCTAATTCTGCACCCTGAAAACTCTGGCAGTGCCAGTGCCGTGAGGTCTCATTGTCTGCTTCACAGTAACAGTCTCAGAAACAGCTGTTCTGCCACTTGCTGTCAAGAGCTCCCCAAACTCAAACGTAGCCAGAAATGTAAAGGTTGGGTCTGGCTACAAGAAGGCCAGAATTTCAGAAGTTTCTTAAGTGAGCAGTAATAGAATAAAACCCAGAGATGAGTGAAGCAAAATGAAGCGTGTCCAGGGAATGTCACGATGAGCACATGGTTCAACAATGCCTAATGTCCTGCTTACATTGTTGATGTTACTACCTTTTCCTCAGCTAGCAATTTTGGGTTACTTCCTCCCTAATTTAATTTTGAATGTTCTTGCATATTTGGGACATCTCGCCACAGGGCTAAAGATTAGTTGTTTCTGTGCAGCGTATCTATACCAATGTTGCTGAATGTATACACTGGTACAGACACATGTTTATTACATAAATGAAGTATTTGCTGTGATAAAAATGTGCTATTTGAGGCCATCATTTTTCTTTGTGTTCACTTTCTATATGTATATATGTGTGTATTAGAATCTCAATTTGTTTTCTTTAGATTTATATTAAATCATGTTTACACGAATTAAAGGATGGAAGGAAGGAAGGACAGAAGGGAGAAAGGGAGGGAGGGAGGGATAGTGGAAAGAAGGGAGGGAAGGAGGAAGGAAGGGCATAGTATGGAAATAAGAGATGAGGTTTTGTTAAGTCTCATTCCCTGGGGAAAAATTGCTTTTGCCATTTTATTTTGATATACAATAATCTAAAAAGGATCCCCTCCAGATTTGCTTCCTAATTACTATCGTTTTACGCAAAAAAAAGGGAAATATGTCTTCAGCTGAATTGTTTGGAGTCACTGGCTTTGTGCAGATTTGCCAGGCTGATGATGTTTCATTGTAAGAATACTACCTTACAGATTGCAAGCAATTTCACAAGCAATGAATTCATGAGTTTGAAACCGTCTGCTTTAAGAGACCTAAATATCTTGGTTTTTAATAAAATGCTTAAAGTTTAAATAAATGTCTGGAATAATCTATTTCTCTTGAGAAGGGTGATTTAAAGTCTGAAAGAGGAAAGCATGCATCAGAGTACCTACAGTTTAAATTTTGGCTGTGAATTTAGCCCATTAACCTTGATCTGTGATGTTTGCCCATATGAGAGGGACACTGAGATATCCCAGTTCATGGAGCATTTTAAAGATGACAAAAGGTTCTTCGAATTATTAAAGATTTTCTGGGGGAGAAGAATCTGTAGCTGAATGCGGGTTTCTGTGTCCCTTACAGATTGCTCGAATTTGCATGGGCAATTACACAGGGGATCGCATCAATGCAGGCCTGCCAGCCACACCGACGCCATACAATTACACAACGGCTTCGGTGCTTAAACTTTAAAATTCTTACACCATTGTGCCTGTTCTATTAGAACAAACTGCAGCAAATGATCCAAAGCCAATTCAAAGGACTGGAGAGGAGGTGCCCGGGGGAGAGAGGGAAGAGGTGCAGTGTGGCCCCTACTGGCCAGCTTAAGCAATCGCCAGCCCCCACAGGCTGGCTGCAGCAACCACAGGCTTCTTTCTGTGCTTTGCAGTCCATGGTTTTCCAGCAGGGCGAACAATAAGAGTCACCTAATTCACAGAAGGGCTGTGAGGATTAATGAGGGAAGTTAGGCAAAGCAGGACCTGGTCCTGGTACAGAAAGTACTGCATAAACACGAGGCTTAGAGTAGCTCTTTGTCTGGATGGTTGATTGCTTTCTTTCAATGCCAGTATCCAAGTTGTGCCTTCCCTACTAATTCCATTTATAAATGAGAATGCTATTGTGCTCTCCCTGATAAGCTGATTTAGATAACAACACTGCAAGCACCTAAATATAAGCTACTTGATAAAAAAAATAATAAGGTATATCCAAGAAAGAAACCTAATTAAAATAGTAATAGAGCTGAAACCAGCAGCAAAAAGAGAGTTCATAATGAGGTTAAATGTCTGAGCATAAATGTCCCCAAGTGTTGATTTGGTATACAACCCTTCCAAAAGTGTTAAAGGAGAGAACGGATGCTCCTAAAAGGCTATTACATTACCAATTTGGTACTAGTCTTTTTTTTCCCTCTTGACTGTTGAGAGGAAACAAAGCAACTGAGCCCCTGAAACTGACCATCCTGAAGAAAATGGCCTGATATGAGAGGGAAAAAGAAATAACTGGAAAATGGTTTTTCCAAAAGGCCTTCCTTTATCAAGAAAGATGTCTGACCACAGCTGTAGCAGTTGGGATGTTCAGAAATGACCGGTTTACCAACAGGAAATGATCACATTTAAAGGGTAAATAAGAAATCACACCTACCAACTGTTTTACAAAAGAATGCCAAACAGATTACATGTACAAATAGAATAGGATTTGATCATCTCGTGCTTCAGCAGGCAGAAACATAAGCATATGAAGAACTAAATGTCATGCTTTTAGCTCCTACACATTTTGCCTGAATGGAATTCTTCTACATGGTAAACATGCCTTTCTTTTTGCAGCAAAATCCATCGAGTTCAACACCATTTTTTCAAAGCCTAGTTTCTTTCAATAAGGCACTAAATCATTTTACTGCAACCACCAAATGCTTTCTTATTGCTAGGAATGTACGATACATTTACTTTTTGATACATGCTCCAGTTTTCAAGATTCTGTTGGAAACAAAATGGTCCTTTATGACATTTTACAATATTCCATTCCATTTACTGCTTTCCAGAATTTCTATCATTAATTAAAGGGCCTTCTTTCAGCCCTCCCCCACTCCAAAAACCTAATCTATTCCCCAACTGCCCATCACAGACTAAATAAAAGTCAGTCTATCACAGCAGCAGTGATGGTCATGCCAATTTCACAGTGTGATTTGTGCACTCATTTCATTTTGAAAATGACCCTGCCCTCCATCTGTCTAAGCCGAATGTCCCACTTTTTTCCAGCCAGGCCTCTGGAACAGCAGCACATGAAATAAGGGGGAAGACACATAGAGGCCTCCCTCCTCCCCCATCAGATGCCACACTCACAGGTAAGTGCTAACACAAACAGGGGACCCAACTGATGCCTGAAGGCATCTGAGAAATTTGGGGGAGAGCAGACAGTCCTTCTATTTTTCATACATTTTTCCAAGAAGCCATTTGGAGGTGTGCACTTTCATGACACAAATACAACTCTGAAAAAAAGACTAACAGACTAAAGATAAAAAGGTAACTTCCCATTTCTAAGTTCTGTTGTCTTACCTTGATTTAACAGTAACTTACCTAAAGTAACAGTTCATACATAAAGATCTTTAAATAGTGAGGCTGAGTTTCCAAGGGAAAAATGTAGTCAGGCAGCCATAGGGTGAAGATCATCCCGCACCCCACCCTCAATTACTGAGCAGCAAAACCCAGCCTCTGATAACCCACGTACCTTCTGAGTTGAAGGTCCTAAAAGCGTGCACCAAGACATTGGGTTGAAGATGTGTCAGAGTAGAATTAGAGTGATCCTCATTGGCTATGTTCTCAGGGTAACTTAGATGGACCAGAGGCCCACTCAACACTCCGAAATGTGTGCAGTTTGTTCCTTTCTTGGTATCCAGTGGCAAGTTCCTTTTCTGTTCTCACTTAGAAGATCACAGCTCTGCGAATTTCTCAGGAAGAGAGAAGACTGAATGAGTACATAAAGTTGGTTGTTTTCTGCTATGAACAATCACACACCTACAGAAGTCTCTGCCTAGATATACCAGATGACTAGAAGCTATACCACCCCCACTAATTACTTCCTAACGTCTGCTCACAGCTGCAGTTCAGATCTGGAAGTTCAATTTTCTATTGACCACACCAAGTTGGTTGGTTGGCTGGCTGGTTGGTTGAATGGAGAAAAAAGACACTAATCTTCCATTATACAACTTGGCCCCAAACACTGGGCTCTTACAAACTCATCTATAGGGGATATATGGAATGAGGTATTTAACAGTAACTATTTCCTACTGAAAATAGATGTTGACTATCCTGGCACAGCTGCTCACTACCTAGCTGTGTGGTCTTAAGCAAATAACATCAAACTTTCCAGTACACAGACTCCTTACTTGTACTATATAGAATATGAGGGTGGTTATTAAAATTAGAAAAAAATGTACAGAAATGGTCTAATAGAGTGTCACACAATATGTCTGGTGTTGGGTCTAAAATTCATATACAGAAAAGACGCAGGGCCAGCAAAACTATAAGGATGATAAAGGACTTCCATGGAAGTCTTTAAGCAAATACCAAAATCATGCTTTTATTTGGACACTGTTTATCTTAAGGACTAGACAGGCCAATGCAAATGATAGAAGACCAGTGGAGGGGGGCCTGGGTGGTTCACTCAGTTAAGTGTCTGACTTCAGCTCAGGGTGTTTGAGCCCCACATCCGCTTGTGCCAACAGGTCAGAGCCTAAAGCTTCCGGATTCTCTGTGTGTGTGTCCCCTCCCCTACTCGTCCTCTCTCTCTCTCAAAAATAAACAGTTTTTGAAAACACCAATGGAGATCTAGGTAGATCAAGAAAGAATGGTCTCTTCTTTGGAGTGAAATTTCGTTAGAGGGCCAGGGCAGGAGTCCAAGTGTAAGTGGCCCCATCTGTTCAGTAATAATTGTTTATTTAAAAAAAAAAAAAAAAGAGGGGCAGATTATAGAAACTTGAATCTAAAATTGAGGATCTCACAGAAGCTGATAAGATTCACAGAAGCTATCCCACGCCACCTGTGGAAAAATAGAGACTTTCAGTCTCTCCATATTACGTTGCTAAAAAGTATGCCCTCAGGATAGCTTTAAAAAGGAACCTAATTTCAGGGTGCTACCAAGGAGGTAGTCCGCCATTTCCTTCCCACTAATTTACAATCACAAAACAGGAACCGATATCTTTTGTAGGTATTGCACACCGTAAATAGCTAAGAAAAGCAAGGGGTTTCAGACCATAAACTTTCCTCTCCCGTGCCAGACACCGAAATGCTACAAATGGAACCAAACAAACCGCACTAACAAAAACAAAACGCCGGTGAAACACCCTATCCCAATGCGTGGGAGTTGGTCCCGCGAGACTAAACTCCCAGCAGGCAGCGCGGTCACGTTCAGGGCGGCGGCGTTGCTGCAGTGCTGCATGCCGGGAAGTGGAGTTTTCGTCTCTCAACTGCGTGGAAGCGTTTGTTCGGTCTTGCGTGACGCACGGCCTTAGCAGCCTAAAGTCTTCAAGAACAAAATTAATAACTAAAAGACTAATTTCAGTGATGACTTTTTATTCCCATTGAGCTTATTCCGTAACAAAGTACTCTCAAGACGAGCACCTTTCCTTTCCGGTGGGCTTGTTGCCGTGGTAACCAGCACGCACAACCAACTTGGCGATTATGGCCGGGCTGAGCGGCGCGCAGATCCCCGATGGAGAGTTCACTGCCGTCGTGTACCGGCTCATCCGAGATTCGCGCTACGCTGAGGCGGTGCAGCTGCTGGGCGATGAGCTCCAGCGGAGCCCGAGGAGCCGCGCCGGCCTGTCGCTGCTGGGCTACTGCTACTACCGCCTGCAGGAGTTCACGCTGGCGGCCGAGTGCTATGAGCAGCTGGGCCAGCTGCACCCGGAACTGGAGCAGTACCGCCTGTATCAGGCGCAGGCCCTGTACAAGGCCTGCCTTTATCCAGAGGCCACCCGGGTCGCCTTCCTCCTGCTGGACAACCCCGCCTACCACAACCGGGTCCTCCGTCTGCAAGCCGCGATCAAGTACAGCGAGGGCGACCTGCCCGGGGCTAAGAGCCTGGTGGAGCAGCTACTGGGCGGGGAAGGGGGAGAGGACAGTGGGGGTGAGAACGAGCCCGATGGTCAAGTCAACCTGGGCTGTTTGCTCTACAAGGAGGGGCAGTATGAGGCCGCGTGTTCCAAGTTCTTTGCGGCCCTCCAGGCTTCGGGCTACCGGCCTGACCTTTCCTACAACCTGGCTTTGGCCTATTACAGTAGCCGGCACTATGCCCCGGCGCTGAAGCACATCGGCGACATTATTGAACGTGGCATCCGCCAGCACCCAGAGCTAGGTGTGGGCATGACCACTGAGGGCATTGATGTTCGAAGTGTTGGCAACACCTTAGTCCTTCACCAGACTGCCCTGGTGGAAGCCTTCAACCTCAAGGCAGCCATAGAATACCAACTGAGAAACTATGACGTAGCCCAGGAAACCCTCACTGACATGCCACCTAGGGCAGAAGAAGAGTTGGACCCCGTGACCCTGCACAACCAGGCGCTAATGAACATGGATGCCAGGCCTACAGAAGGGTTTGAAAAGCTACAGTTTTTGCTCCAGCAGAACCCCTTTCCCCCGGAGACCTTTGGCAACCTGCTGCTGCTCTACTGTAAGTATGAGTATTTTGACCTGGCAGCAGATGTCCTGGCCGAGAATGCCCATTTCACTTACAAGTTCCTCACACCCTATCTCTATGACTTCTTGGATGCCATGATCACTTGCCAGACAGCCCCTGAAGAGGCTTTCATTAAGCTTGATGGGCTAGCAGGGATGCTGACTGAACAGCTCCGGAGAGTCACTAAACAAGTACAGGAAGCAAGACACAACAGAGATGATGAAGCTGTCAAAAAGGCAGTGAATGAGTATGACGACACTCTGGAGAAGTATATTCCTGTGTTGATGGCCCAGGCCAAAATCTACTGGAACCTCGAGAATTATCCAATGGTGGAAAAGATCTTCCGCAAATCTGTGGAGTTCTGTAATGACCATGACGTGTGGAAGCTGAACGTGGCTCATGTGCTGTTCATGCAGGAAAATAAATACAAAGAAGCTATAGGGTTCTATGAACCCATAGTCAAGAAGCATTACGACAACATCCTGAATGTCAGTGCTATTGTGCTGGCTAACCTGTGTGTTTCATATATTATGACAAGTCAGAATGAAGAAGCTGAGGAGTTGATGAGGAAGATTGAAAAGGAGGAAGAGCAGCTGTCCTATGATGACCCCGATAAGAAAATCTACCACCTCTGCATTGTGAATTTGGTGATCGGCACACTTTATTGTGCCAAGGGAAATTATGACTTTGGGATTTCTCGGGTTATCAAAAGCCTGGAACCTTATCATAAGAAACTGGGCACGGACACCTGGTATTACGCCAAAAGATGCTTCCTGTCTTTATTAGAAAACATGTCAAAACACATGATTGTGCTTCGTGACAGTGTTATTCAAGAATGTCTCCAGTTTCTAGAACAATGTGAAGTTTATGGTAGGAACATCCCTGCTATTATTGAACAACCTCTGGAAGAAGAAAGAATGCATACTGGAAAGAATACAGTCACATATGAATCCAGACAGTTAAAAGCTTTGATTTATGAGATTATAGGATGGAATATATAATGATGTCATAATGGAATGTATAAAAATGGTGCTGTTATTCTGTTATCTATATTTCATCCTGTATTTTGCTTGTATCCATCCTTTGACATCTTTACATTTGGTACATGAGCCTTGTTCACTTTATAATTAAAATAGTTTAGATGTAACTTTTGAGAAACCTCACAAAATGAAATATAATCAAAAGAACATGTACCATAAAAGGGTTTATGAAAAAATTCAGAAATGAATGAGGAAGTTGTGTCAAATACTATTTGTAATACCTATGTTCTCATTTGTATTTTGTGCTTTGCTTTAACCTAAGTGAACCCTGCATCCTAAGATTACATCATCCAGAAACTAGGCACTATCAACTCCAGAACTCAGATAATTCATAGGTGATCTGCACATTAATAAGTATTTCAAGAATTACATGCTCTACTCTTAGCAGCTTACCCTTATAACTACATTAATTTGTAATGCATTCATTTTGGATAGAGTTATATGTTTGGGCAGAGTTTTCCAGTGGTTGTAATGCTTTCACAAAAATTCCTTATGTTCTAGATGTTGTTGCGATTGTTTTTAAATTGCAGGGCTCATGGGAAATCTTGTGCCATAACAAAATTAGGATACTATGGTGTGGATACAATAAACAATTGACAAATTTCTGTGATTTTCTTTTGCTCCTTTTGTTAATCTGATAAACATAAACATGATTCTATTGTTTATGTCGTTGACCTGTAACAATTATTAACAGAAGGTAGACTTGGAACTTAGTTCTTAACTTTAGGACACATTCATGCAGTAGTTTGTTTCCATGGTGTATAGCTTCTTGAAAAAAGAAAAATATTCTACATTATTTCCATGACCCTCTCACATTCTCCTAATCACACTACAGATGGAATGATATATATCACTGGTTCTGAAACTGGTAGATTCATAATGCCACTTTCATATTCAAAACCCTATCAATAGTATGTTAGGCTTCTCAGTGGGACCCTCATTATTCTCAAGCGTTTAATTTTCTGTATGCTACAAGAGTTTCACTCATTGTTTCCCCCACCCCTTACCTTTTTTGCTCCTCATAAATGTAACTGCCCATCCCACTAGACCTGGCCTAGGACACATCAAGAAGTATTAAGTTGGATCATGGAAGTGCTGATTTTTCTAGAAAGTTCCCAACCTATAAAAACAACAATTTCTTTGGTTCGACCCACCAGCTTTCGATGATTGACAGGAAACCTGTTATAATATTTCCCTATCAAAGAGGAACACAATTAGCGATATAGGTACCTAAGGATATTATGCTCAAAATAATCCCTCAACAGCATGACGTCTTTGGTGATGAAACGCTATTTTCTGTCCGAGAATTTTGCTTATTGTGAATATTAAGGCATAGTATCTAACGTCACTTTTAATTTGTACTATTTGTCTAGTTGATGGTGATGGCCCCATATTTAGAAAAAAGTTTGAAGGGATTTTTTGAGTTTATATGCTGTAATATTGGAGGGTATTTCCTATTTGCTTACGAAACAGAGGAAACGTTAGTGTCCTTTGGTTAGTGTCCTTAGGTACGGGGCTCCTTTCCAATGCTAGCCACTTCCTTCTATTGCTATCTTCCGTTTCCGGTGGGCTTGTGGCCATGGTAACCAACAGGCACAACCAGCCTGGCGGTTATGGCCGGGCTGAGCGGCGCGCAGATCCCCGATGGAGAGTTCACTGCCGTCGTGTACCGGCTCATCCGAGATTCGCGCTACGCTGAGGCGGTGCAGCTGCTGGGCGATGAGCTCCAGCGGAGCCCGAGGAGCCGCGCCGGCCTGTCGCTGCTGGGCTACTGCTACTACCGCCTGCAGGAGTTCACGCTGGCGGCCGAGTGCTATGAGCAGCTGGGCCAGCTGCACCCGGAACTGGAGCAGTACCGCCTGTATCAGGCGCAGGCCCTGTACAAGGCCTGCCTTTATCCAGAGGCCACCCGGGTCGCCTTCCTCCTGCTGGACAACCCCGCCTACCACAACCGGGTCCTCCGTCTGCAAGCCGCGATCAAGTACAGCGAGGGCGACCTGCCCGGGGCTAAGAGCCTGGTGGAGCAGCTACTGGGCGGGGAAGGGGGAGAGGACAGTGGGGGTGAGAACGAGCCCGATGGTCAAGTCAACCTGGGCTGTTTGCTCTACAAGGAGGGGCAGTATGAGGCCGCGTGTTCCAAGTTCTTTGCGGCCCTCCAGGCTTCGGGCTACCGGCCTGACCTTTCCTACAACCTGGCTTTGGCCTATTACAGTAGCCGGCACTATGCCCCGGCGCTGAAGCACATCGGCGACATTATTGAACGTGGCATCCGCCAGCACCCAGAGCTAGGTGTGGGCATGACCACTGAGGGCATTGATGTTCGAAGTGTTGGCAACACCTTAGTCCTTCACCAGACTGCCCTGGTGGAAGCCTTCAACCTCAAGGCAGCCATAGAATACCAACTGAGAAACTATGACGTAGCCCAGGAAACCCTCACTGACATGCCACCTAGGGCAGAAGAAGAGTTGGACCCCGTGACCCTGCACAACCAGGCGCTAATGAACATGGATGCCAGGCCTACAGAAGGGTTTGAAAAGCTACAGTTTTTGCTCCAGCAGAACCCCTTTCCCCCGGAGACCTTTGGCAACCTGCTGCTGCTCTACTGTAAGTATGAGTATTTTGACCTGGCAGCAGATGTCCTGGCCGAGAATGCCCATTTCACTTACAAGTTCCTCACACCCTATCTCTATGACTTCTTGGATGCCATGATCACTTGCCAGACAGCCCCTGAAGAGGCTTTCATTAAGCTTGATGGGCTAGCAGGGATGCTGACTGAACAGCTCCGGAGAGTCACTAAACAAGTACAGGAAGCAAGACACAACAGAGATGATGAAGCTGTCAAAAAGGCAGTGAATGAGTATGACGACACTCTGGAGAAGTATATTCCTGTGTTGATGGCCCAGGCCAAAATCTACTGGAACCTCGAGAATTATCCAATGGTGGAAAAGATCTTCCGCAAATCTGTGGAGTTCTGTAATGACCATGACGTGTGGAAGCTGAACGTGGCTCATGTGCTGTTCATGCAGGAAAATAAATACAAAGAAGCTATAGGGTTCTATGAACCCATAGTCAAGAAGCATTACGACAACATCCTGAATGTCAGTGCTATTGTGCTGGCTAACCTGTGTGTTTCATATATTATGACAAGTCAGAATGAAGAAGCTGAGGAGTTGTTGAGGAAGATTGAAAAGGAGGAAGAGCAGCTGTCCTATGATGACCCCGATAAGAAAATCTACCACCTCTGCATTGTGAATTTGGTGATCGGCACGCTTTATTGTGCCAAGGGAAATTATGACTTTGGGATTTCTCGGGTTATCAAAAGCCTGGAACCTTATCATAAGAAACTGGGCACGGACACCTGGTATTATGCCAAAAGATGCTTCCTGTCTTTATTAGAAAACATGTCAAAACACATGATCATGCTTCATGACAGTGTTATTCAAGAATGTCTCCAGTTTCTAGAACAATGTGAAGTTTATGGTAGGAACATCCCTGCCATTATTGAACCACCTCTGGAAGAAGAAAGAATGCATACTGGAAAGAATACAGTCACATATGAATCCAGACAGTTAAAAGCTTTGATTTATGAGATTATAGGATGGAATATATAGTGATATCTTTAATGGCATTTATAAAAAACTAGCTCTCATTTATATTTGGCTTCCAATATATATTTATTTTTGGCTTCTTCACATGTTACATTTGAGCCTTGAGCACTTAAAATTATAATAACAAATAATCTGTGGGAGGGACTTTTCCGTTTAATTAAGAATAGTATGGAGCCCATAGTATATATTCCCTCTTCTAGAAGTCACCAAGTTTGCCCTCAAGCAATAATTGCTAGTGTGGCATCTTTGCATAAGCAAGTAACCCTCCATAGCAGTTTATATCCTAATTTTAGGCTGTAGAAAAGGGTGTGACAAGAGCCAATTAATTGTTCTAGCGGGTATGATTGCTTTCCCCTGGTGACTGCTATATAAAGGATTGCTAGGCCATGGGTGGACCTTTTTTTCAATCAGAAAATAAAGACAGGTCCATTGTGCCATCCCAGGAAGGACCAATCTGACCTTAACTGAATACTTCCACTCCATTTTTTTGGTCCTGTAACCTGTGGGGCTCAACAGAGTTAAAATGAATCTTGGCCTAAGGTCTTGGAGAAGAACAGGTACTAAACGGATGATAATTATTTTCTTGGTTCTTTTCAGGTTATGAGGTTTGGTCTGTGGCTTAATTTTTCTTCCATAATTTGGTTGGTTGGTCTTAAATTTTATACACGATTTCCCCTTGGTTTCCATTATTTGTTTTCCAGGACTAATTGTGCCTCCTTGTGAATAGTGACTAATAATTAAATGTAAATCTTTCCAGTGTGCTGAGCATAGGAAAAAGTAAGCAGTGAACTGACAATGAAAGGACTAAGGTATGAGTTCCAGACTTTCCACAGTCAAGTTTTGCCTTCAGAAATTCATTTACACCTTGAGGCCCCACACTCATTTGAACTACTAGATGCTTTTTCACAATTAGTTCTGGCTGTACCATCTGATTCTGTACAACCAGACAGAAGAAAGTTGACTACTCTAGATATTTAAACAAGTTGGCTGGGGAACAAAATATGTATTTTAAATGAATGTTTACAGTAAATGTTAACCCATAAGGTAAATGTTTGTTGTTACTTTTTGTTGGATGCAATAAAAAATTGAATACTAAGAAATTTGGATTTTTGCCTTTTTCTACTTGGAGCTTTTTCTTATTAACTCTAAGTATGAATGTATGAAAGGCAGTCCTTGTTCTCTGCTATGGTTGTACATAAATTAAGAATTTTGTAAATATCTAGAAATTACTTAATTCTCCTACCCTTTTAGGTTTATCCACTAATTTATATATTTGGCAGGAAAGAGGAGATTTGCTTTTAATTCTTCCAAAAACTACTATACCAAAAATGATATGTAAATGATATATATTCCAGGAGTTTTATTATCAGGCTATTATGTATTTTTAATAAATTATTCTTGAAATAATTAGAGTTCCTCCTGCCTGAGGTGAACGCCTCCAGCTGCCAGTCTGCCAGAAGTCTGGAAACAGAGAACAGGTGAAGTGAAGATGAAATGGAGATGCAGCTATGGATCCCCCTCATGTCCAAATCTCAGTAGTTAATCGAACGTCTGCTGCCATTAAGAGAACAGAAGTAATGGATAACAGAGTAGAAGTAACAGATGCCAGAGCTACTTCTGTAACTAACTCACCAAACTGAATCATCAGTCCTTGCACCCTTGTTTTATTTAATACTAGGAGGAGAGGTCATGCAGACTTTCCAAAAGGACAAAGCCACGATGAACAGGAAGGCAATCTCCAGTTTGTAAAGCTTTCTCTTGGAGTATTTTCTTTCAAAGGGTCTTTAAGAGATAGTAGTGTTTACTGCTGCAGAATGTATCAAGATAAGATACAAGATACAAGAACAAGATAAGAAATGAAAAATCTATCTACCTTACTGCCCTCCTTTTCTTTCCCTATTTTATCTTTTATTTTCTCCCTTTTGTCAATTATAGGGACACTCCTCTTGATAGCTAGCAGTTGAAACCACAAGCAGGTCTAACCAACCTTTTAACAATATGTGTCAGGTAGGTAGCACTGTGATTATCAAAGTGACTTTAGAAACCATAACCATGCATTTTTGCAAATTGAGACCACACTTCTTTACAAAGAGTGAGTCTCAAATTGGTAAAGCCAGAGAAAATTTTAAGAGGACTCACCAAAAACACTGGATCTGTATAATTTGCAGAACATAGTGAACTTTATTTGTATACTTGCAGTAATTGTTATCTTTTTGACCTCAAAAGAAAAAGTGACAGAAATTTTAAAGAGTGCAACATTTTTAAAACAATGTTCTGTGACATAGGAAATTATTTAATTCCTCTTAACTCTAGAAGAGACTTACTTTTCTGTAGCCATACTCATTTTATATTGAAAAATAGAGCCAGGCATTAGCCAGAAGGTAATTAATTAGTCATAGGTATAGTGTGGTCTTGTTTTAATATTCTCCTTGCAAGGGGGAGGGGAGGGCATGAGTCTTTACAAGGTGATTGCTTTACACTTGAGTCCAAAAAAAAATTGAGGTTCTTTTGGTTATTTAATAAAATCCGCTCCCTTGGATATTAGTCAAGATTGACCTATCACATATTGAAATCCTGTCTACTTACTTCCTGATGTGTATACATTAAAAAGGAATTGCCTTCAGAGGGAAAAACTTCTAGAAAACAGAGAGTTTTGTGTACATTTCTAGAATGAAAGATATGCATTTATTAGTTTAAACAGGACCTGCCAATAACTTGATTGTAAATATCACTAGGTGAACATGTAAACTGAATCCAAGTCCTTGTTCAAAAGTGAAATTTGCACATTTGTAAAATTAAACACATCATTATCAATGACTGGATCCCTCAGTTCAAAATAACAAATGACTAAAATTGTACTGTTCCAACAGGACCTTAATAAGGTGCGTGAGAAAATTCATTGCTATTATTATGTTTCCAGTAATTTTAGTACAAGAAGCAAATGCTTAAGATAAAAGACACATTGCTAGAAGTTTTACCAGCACTCATGGCAACTGCTATAAAAAAGTATGCCCACAAAGTGTCCACAGACTCTTGAAGAGATTGTCAAGACTCGCCAGGAAATGACTGGCTGGTTAGTGTTTCTGTCTGTGTTCCATAAGGTCAGAGGCTATTATTCTGTGAAGACTCAATCTCTTGGTCCCAGTTACTTCAAATTTGACAAAGCCATGTCCTAGGGTTCATGCACTTCATATATAAAAAGGGGAGTATATACACTGGGGAATGTAAGATGTTTAGTCCATCTTTAAGTCAGGAAATACTATATTTATTGCAGAGATGATCACACCCTAACACTGTAAAGCAAAAGAAAGCTTCAGGAATTAAATCATAATGGAAACACTTTTCTAAAAAAGACTATTGTGAGGTAATACCACATGTCCACATATGTTAAGGAGTGTCTTTCTTTGTTTATTAGAAAGGCAAAACTTTTTCTTTAAAAAAATAAATTTTAACATTTATTTTTGAGACTGAAAGAGACAGAGCATGAGCTGGGGAGGGGCAGAGAGGGAGGGAGACACAGAATCTGAAACAGGATCCAGGCTCCGAGCTGTCAGCACAGAGCCCGATGCGAGGCTCAAACCCACGGACCGCGAGATCAAGACCTGAGCCGAAGTCGGATGCCTAACCGACTAAGCCACCCAGGTGCCCCTGAACTTTTTCTATAGTTAATACAACATTTTTGTTTTCTCACCTTTTGTTTCTGTACTTATGCATTACATTTAAACTGTTCTGACAATAGATGAGTTATACATGATTTGACCAAGACACTGAAAGTAGTTATTAGCTCTCTTCAGAAACTAAGGAGACCATTTTTCTGATAATGTATATAAGATTTATAATGAGATGATTGGCAAAATTGTAAAATCATTCTAGAAATGATGATGTGAAAATAAAATGGAAAATCATAACTGTACTCTTCTATGATATCATAGATATGACCTAATAGATTTTTAAATTACAAACTGGGTATTATGATAAAAAATTTGGAATCCATCTGCAACAATGAGTCCATGGCTTGGAATAGCTCATCTCTTAAATCATAAAACTGAGGCTTGCAGAGAATAATAGGTCTTGCCCAAGATCACAGAGCCAAATAGAAGCAAAGCCAGGATCAGAATCCAGGGCTACTGCTCAATTCCAGTGCTCTCTCTACTCTACCACATTCCACCTCTTAGGGGTTATTTTCCAAATTATTCTGACACTATCAATGCTAAGCATTTCCTTTTCCAGAGCTATGACTTTCACTACTTCTGTTGCTGATTATTTAATTGGTGGTATAAGAAGCTTTTTCCAAAGAACACTCAGTGAGCACATTCCAGCGTCAGCCTAAATTATAGTTTCCAAAAGTGTGCCAGAGGGGACATGAGTAGGCACCACATACTGTTTGCAGCAGGCACAGATTTAGCTGTGGTACAATCTGGGTTGGGCACAAAGATTAATAACCCACCTGTTGTTTCATCAGTTCCTTAAAAAGTCACTTTTTATGATATTTCTCCAAGGTAGTGATTTTCTTCTCTCCATTATGGTCTCTAGCCACCAACCACAGTAAAAACAGCTGTCAGAAGGCTTCTCTGCACCTCGAGTGCAAAGGGCTACATATGAGGTACTTATTCAGGAATCACAGTAAAGGGCCAGCTGCTTCCACAGGTATTTACAGAGTGTTACCAGAGACTTTCGAGCCTCCATAAAGCTTTACCTTTACTTGAAAAATCCATTTGAGCCAAGACCTTAAAGGCTTACACTCTCCCTCAAGATTGCTTACTCAGGTTAACTTAGATTTGGGGGAGGAAAAATTAAAAGCAAGCTAAGAACAAGAGAACTGTTATCTACCTCCTGTTTCCCTTTGTACTAATACTAGTATCTCTTAGTCCTTACTCTGTATCAGAATTAGCCAGCAAACTTTTCAAAAATAGAGATGCCTAGGTCCTCTAACCCCTAAAGATTTGGTTTCAACTTATGGGGATGGGGATGGAAGGGAAGGGCCAGTTTTTTAAAAGTCCCCC